ATCCATCCAAAAACAACAAATGATCCTTGGCTAGCAATTGGTAGTAATATGCTCAAATTCTCTCGCAACTATAGCATTAGACATTAGTCATGTCTTTACTTTCTTTAAATTTCCCTTGAGCAACATAGGCAACAAGAATTAGAGCGGAATTTTAAGCTTTCTGCTCCATGACAGACTTGAGTAATAAGCCTCTATTCCTCTATTCTTCCCCGAAAAGTTTAATGAGACAAATCTCCAAGAAGGAACTGGATCTCTATTCATTAAATTGGATTTGGTTCCTTTAAAATCTCCCCTCAACTTTATCAAAAATTGCTCTCGCTTGCTAGTCTCATGCACACTTTGGACATTAAATAGTCCTTCAAAAGATACACTTGCATACACAATATCGATGCATTCAGCCTAGAGATTCTGAAATGAAGAGTAAAAATCTTGAATCGATATGTTGCCTTGAACAAGAATGCCCAACTCAAGTTCCAACTAAAACCTTCGTGCTTGTGTTGCTCCGGTTATGAACTTTCTTCGAGTAATCTCATATTTCTCTCGGAAGTTTTATAAGGCTTGAGGCTAAGAAGAATGGATGGCTCGACACTTTCAAAAATCCAAGACATAATCCGAGCATCTTTCATCTCCCATTTCATATTCTTTTCCTTCTTCTTCTCTCGTCGAGTGTAGTATTTGTCTCATCATTATGACCCCATAATTCCTTTCCCTTGACAAAGATTTGGAATTAGAATTCTCATGTAGAATAATTTTTTCCATTAAATCAAACACAAAAATTCTCAAATCGTTCTAAAGACATGATTCAAGTAAAAAAAAAAAAAAAGGCTAAGATATCAAATCAAATAACTAAAATTTGAATAGCAAGACAAGAATAAACAAGAATAAGAATACTAAGATTATGAAACTAGGCAACAAGATGAAACAGATGTCGAAACCTGGCTTTGATACTATGACAAATTAAAGAGCTTTTTTGAAAAGTTTTGTGTATTTCTCTCTTGACGGATTTACAATATATAGATATTAAGAGTACGTTAAATCCCTACAACTTAGGACCTAATTATAGTAGAAAATATACACAATCAAATAAAGATCTTAGAGCAAAAATAAAGAAATTTTCTACACATTCCTTACTTAGCATATTCTCCTAATTAATGATAATACCATAATAAGGAAAGAATAATAAACGAGAATAATTCCATTGACACTATTTTGGTTCAAATTTAGGATATGAGTTATAGTTCTTTAACTTGATATTTTTGTGATCATGGTAGGGATTGCTAGAGAAGCTGTTACACATGTAGGGTTAATGATTCGTATGATGTTGTCCAAGTAGAAGTCTAATTTACGGTGAAGTTGAATCTATATGTTGAGCGAAATTATTTGATTTATATGTATTTATTAATAAAATAATTAATAATATTAACATAAAAATTTGTATTTGAATAATTAAGAGGTTCTTTCAAAACATTATTTAAATTATTTTATTTAAAAATACAGATTTTAGAATATGAAAAAAATAAATAACAAATAATTGATATTATGTGTGCAAATATATAGTTAATTTGCAACAAAACTAATGATATACATACATACATACTTATAGATATATATACATGTATATATGTATATATACATGTACACACACACACACATGTGTGTGTGTGTATGTGTGTGTGTAGTATGTATCTATACATACATACATACATGAATGTATATGTATCCATACATATGTATACACATACATATATGTGTGCGTGTATATATATATATATATATATATATTTGTTAAATAAATAATAAATAATTAGTGTTATGTGCATATATATATATATATATATCATACTTAGCATATTCAAAACATATATAAAAAATAAATAAAAGTACAAAAAAACACATAAATTATATGAAATATATCGAAATCAATAGATTAAAATAAAAACTATTGTAAAATTGATTCGATTAATTTTGATTATATAAACTTGTGAATTTTTTTAACTGATTATTAATTTTTTTAAAAAAATGAGTCAAATTATCTAAAATACACCTCTCTCTCTCTCTCTACACACACACACACACACACTTCTCTCTCTATATGTGTGTGTGTGTACATGTATATGTGTATGTATAGATATGTATGTTTACATGCATATGTGAATACACGTAGGTATCCATAGATATGTATACATATATATCCATACATAAGTGCGCATGTGTGTGTATATATATATATACTATTCTCATTTAAAAATCATAAAAATAATCAATAATTTAATTTAATTATAATAATATGTTTTTTAAAAATAAAACGCTTGTGTTCTAAAATTTTATTCCAAAATTCATACATAAAAAAACCAAATTTATTAACAAATAAAATTATATCAAAAATTTAAAAAATTAATTTGATGAGAATTTTAATAAGAAATAAATAATTGAAGAAATAAATTTTAAACATTAAGAGTAATATAATCAGATATATATGTTCAAACTAAAATCTTAAAAAATACCATATATATTCTTTTACCGTGAAATGGTACTTAAAATTATAAAATGATGATATATTTTGTATATTTTTTCACATCTAATTCCAAAATAAAAAATAAATTATTGGAAGAAAAAAGGCTAGGCTCGCGCACTTGGGCTACTTATGCAGGCTCGGGCGCCAAGCTAGTTTGGCCTGATAGGGCTTGGTTTGTTAGGCCTGTTCGGCCATGTCAGCCTAGCACGCCAGTGGCACTAGGGCCTGCCATGCGCTAGTACCAGGTTGCTCAGGCATGTGCGTCACATGCGCTTTGGCCTGCTTCTTCAGGCCAAAAAAAAAAAAAATCCTACAATTTTTTACGAACTCAAGGTCGTCGAAAGCGCTTTATCGAAAAGTCACGAGTCGAGTTTCAGATTATAAGAAACTCAATTTCGACATTAATTTTTTTCCTCAAACACTTCTAAATGATCAAAATAGAGTCAATAAATATTTTTAAAACCTTAAAAATCATTTCAAAGCACATTAAAACAAAAACAAAAATTACATAATCAAATCTTTTTTTTTTTCGATTTACCTCTTTCAATTATTTAATGGCTTGAAACCAAAATAGACAAACTCATATTTCAAATATAAAATAATCTAATGAAGTTTTGCTAATCAAAATAGCTTAAATAAGCTTGGTCGGAGCTCTCTCTCTTCTCTCCTCTCTCTTTTCTTTCCTTCCTCCTCTCTATAATCAATAATCAAAACATATTAGTAAATAAAGATATAGGTTGAAATAAAATTTTTACAAACATCGGCAACCAAAATTTAAAAGACTCTGTAATTTGTATATAATTTACCTAAAAAAAGCAAAAAATTGCACAGAAACTGGGCCTCAGTAAGTAGTTTTGATAGGTTATAGTAAATAAATAATAAAATGTTCAGATATTTTAATTGTTTTTTTTAATACTAATGCGCGTGGAATGAACAATTCCGTAGCAATAAATGTATTATTTTGGAACTTAGGTCACGTGCAACCTTGGATTCTACTCTGTTTTTTTCACCTCGTTGCCATCGAGACCCCATGTGATCCCAGCACGAAAAGGCCTATCATTTTCAATCTTAATATCAAAATTGCCACATTTATTGTCTTTTAGGTAAAGAAAACGGCTAAGCATTTGACGCCGGGTGATAAAAAAGTGGGCCGGGAAAGAAGAGAAGGAGATGTTGATATTCCCAATATGTTGATCCCATCCATTGGTTTGTCGCCCTTGTACGTTTGTGAACTGGCCACGTTCCTGTGAGTCCATCTAACATGCCACTTTGATTATGTTTAGCTGTTGAAGTTGATGCATCGGTTTGAGGTTGATGTGTTTGTGTGTTGTCCCTTCAATGGTACGGTCCATCCAAATCCAATACCCATTACTCCTATATTCTTTTTAATTAATGGTTTTCCTTGAGGTTCACATTACCATAAGAAACATTTCACAATGACTTCAACTAATTGGAATTCTAAGTTGGAGTTAAAGCTTTAAATTAACAAAAGAAAATTTTTAATTTGGGAGCTCACGAAGAGAGAGAGAGAGAGAGAGCGCAATTGGCGTGCATGTCATCCATCTCAATTGGCATTTCATTTTTATGTTCTACCATCGTTTTAACTCTCTTGTTAAGCATTAAGCACAACATAATCTTTTTCTTTTTCAAGACAATAGAAAAGCAAACATATGCACTTGCTTGCTTGCCTCTCATTTGGACCTCTCCTACTTGGTAAAAAGAACATAAAAGGGTTAGAAGAAAGAAAAGATAAGTCCTATCTTTTGGTTGTTGTTGCTTTCATGCATGGAAAAATAAAAAGGAAATTGACTATCTAACCTCCATGTGTGTACATCCCTATCCAGCCTTTTTGACCAAAAACATCAACCTAGCAACATGTGTCCAACAAGGGCAGAATTGGCACACCAAATTGTAAAAAAGTAATCATTCTACACAGTCCAGTAGTACTGGTCATTTACATATTGCGATTGCTAAAGACAAAGAGCACACTATTGAGTAAACTCTTTCCTTCAATAAAAATCCTCCACTCTCTCTCTCTCTCTCTCTCTCTCCATTCCTCAACCTGCATCTATCTGTTCCAGACTACCAGCTCTGTGCAAACCATACAAAACACAACCAAACAAAGACCACCATTATCATTTCGCATAAGATTTTCTCCTCACTTCCATTCACCGAACCAATAAAAATATCTATCTCCCTCTTTCTTTCAAATCTTGCATCATTACCCTCTCTCCATGATCAATTACTAAAGAAACAAAATAGTATGGACACATTTGTTGACAGACCCCATCGAAGCAACAGCAACAATAGCAGTAGTACTAGTAACACCAACACCAGCGAGCTCTTTATTTGTTTCACTTCACGCCTTTCTTCTTCCTCCATGAAGCTCTCTTCAAAATCTATCCTTAGCCCTGGTCGTCACAGAGATTCCTCACAAATCTCTCTGTCTAACTCTCTTAGTAGAAGGCTTCGAAGCAATGGCAGCATGAAAGGCGGCCAAGCTTCACCAATGTTCCCTACTAATGGCAAGAAACGTGGCTGTGCTTTTGAAAATCCAGAACCCTCCTCTCCAAAGGTTACTTGTATTGGTCAAGTGAGAGTGAAGACCAAGAAACAAGGCAAGAAACTGAGAACAAGATCGAAGAGAAGAGGAGAGATAAGTTTTAGAAGAGTAGACCAAAACAGCAGTACTTTTGAAGGGAGCAATCATCATCAAGATTTGATAAACAATCAGTTCTTGAATCAGCAGCAGCAACAGGAGGGTTTGTCTCACAGGAATCAAAGATGGGTTCATTTGCCTGTCACTATATGTGAAGCTTTAAGGGCTTTTGGAGCCGAGTTTAATTGCTTTTTACCTTGCCGGTCTTCATGTATGGCAAGCGAGAAAGAGAAGGAAGAGAAGGCAGCCGCAGCAGGATCTGATAACAATGGTAGTAGCTCTTGTGGGGCGATGTTTGCAAGATGGTTGGTGGCAGTGCAAGAGGGAGAAGAGAAAGGGAGGGAGATAGAATTGGTGGTTGGAGAAGGAGGAGGAGGAGGAGGAGGAGGAGGAGGAGGAGGAGGAGAAGAAGAAGAAGAAGAAGAAGAAGAAGAAGAACAAAGAGATGAGAGGAGGAGGAGTTATAGGAGACACGTTTTTGAAGAGATTGAATTTAAGGATGAGAAATTTGAAGGAGGAAATGAAGTTTTGCCAGAAGAGGAAGCAAGGGTAAGTATTTGTATACCACCAAAGAATGCTTTGTTATTGATGAGGTGTAGATCTGATCCTGTGAAAATGGCTGCTCTTGCTAATAAGTTTTGGGAAGCACCTGCTCCACATGATGGAGAAGATGAAGAAGAAGGTAGCGAAGGGGGCGAAAAGGGTAGAAATTTGGGAGTAGAAGAAGAGAAGTGTATTAATGTAGAAGATAGAATACAAGTTGGGCAAAGTGATGAAGAGGAGGAGCAAATAAAAGTCGGGCAAGAAATTTTTATGGAGCAGGAAGAGGATCTGATTGTGTCTGAAAAGTTGGTTTCTTGTGAAACTATTGAGGCGCAGCATCAAATTATTCAGGAAACTGAAGAAAGTTTGGTTCTTTTGGAAGGAGACGGTGGAGCAGATAGCGAAGAAGTCAGAAGCACAGAAGATAATGTTGATGTTGTTGTACAAGAAGGGAATTTAGTGAAGCAAGAAGAAGAGGAATCAGAAATCCATGAGGTCATGAACCAGCCAACAGCCTTAACACAAGAAACTGTTAATCTATGCAGTGATCAGTCTTCACTTGATCAAGAAATTGTAGATCCACAGGCCTTGATGAATCACGAAAATGAATACAAGTTGGTTCGAGAGAATGAGGGTAATCAAGAAGACAGAGCGGTCAAAGCAGAAGAGGAACAAGCAGTAGACTTGAGTGATGACATGGAGGAGAATTCAGTGTCCGTGCAGTTTCAGCAAGAAAGTTTAGAAGTCGCCGTCCAAGAGTTACAGGGCCAAGAACCTGCAGGGTCTCATTCAGCAGCTGAATTACAGGTACAAGAGTCAAAGGGAGAGAAAGAGACCGAGGAAGAAGAGGAAGGACAGACGGGGACCCATGAAAGATCTGAACCCGAATACCCAGAAGCCCGGGAATCAGGTCAAACGGATACGGGTCTCAAGTCAAAGGAAAGAGATAATGGTCAACCACTGTTGCCAGATTGCTTGCTGCTAATGATGTGTGAGCCCAAGCTGTCCATGGAGGTATCCAAAGAAACTTGGGTTTGCAGTACAGACTTCATAAGATGGATGCCAGAGCATTCAAGGCCAGTCAATAAAACGGACGGTAAAGATGAGCCGAAGAAAAGAGTCAGCATCGACATTAATCCTGCGCAGGTGCATAATAATAATAAGAACAACAGCCATGACAACTATAACTTGCAGCAGCCACATAGGTCTTCTTGCTCATATCCGGCTAAGCCGCCGGCTCGTGGAGCCGGGACGGAGCCCATGTCGACAATGATAGAGCAGAAGCTGGTGGGAGCCAAGGCATATGAGCCGTTTGTTCTGACACGCTGCAAGTCTGAGCCAATGAGGACAGTTTCTAAGCTTGCGCCAGAGGCTTGCTTCTGGAAGAATAGGAAGATTGAGCCGCATCGACCAGCGGCTACGCTTGGGGTCGGCGCGGCTGGGGTTGGGTTTTAAAAGCCCATGTTGATAGTAATAAAAAGGAATCTGCTTAAAAAGGAGCGCGGTAAGTTTGTGTTGGTAACTGTAGTATTTTCATACTAGTAGTAGTAAGTAGTAGTGGTGGTGTTGCTTTTACTTTTTCTTTTCACTGCTATGCATTCTTGTAAATCTTACTTTCTCATATCCTGAGCAAAAAATTCCAATTTCTGCTATTTTTTTTCCTTGTCCCATAAGATAAGGGAACGTTATGTGTTGTTAGATGTTGAGAATGATGGTAGAGTAGAGTGCATGTTACCATATGGTCCACTATGGGTCAATTTTGAGGCGTTTGATTGGTGAGAATGTGGGAGTAATGGAAATAGACAGTTAAGCAAGGATTTGATAGTTGAATTATTAAAGCAACTTGTTACAATGTCCGTGATGATTTAGTGAAGTGAGGATGTGGCTGTGGATGTTGGTGTTGGTGTTGGTGTGAGATTGGAATTTTGCAAATAATGTTATCTTGTCAATCATATATGATCCATAATAATGCGTAATTTAAGTTCATAGTTGGATAGAAAGGAAACATCTTAGAATGTTTTTGCCTAATTAGGTCTTGAATAGACTCACTTTACCATCATAATTGATTTATGTATGGGATTGATACCCCATTTATTATCTGAGTCAAGACTTGAAGGATGGATTTTTTATTTGTCCTGAATTGTGTGGCAAACAAATTCAATGCCAAAAGTAAGAGAATCACGTTACCAAATGGTACTGTCTTTACAAGAAGCTGCTTAAATCACACATTCACTCTGTTCAATGGAACTGGAGTGCTATTATAATAATATGGAGTGATATTATCGTCTTTTGGGAATTTAATTTTGTTATGTGTAAATTAAATTTCATGATAAATACTCAAATCAAACACGCACAATAATTAAATAAATAAACTACAAGAGCACAACTACTCTCTCTATAGTATAAAGAAAAATCACAAGATCAATTCTGAAATAATTTATTAATAATAATAATAATATAAACCTAACGTACGTACGTACACACATATATTAGAATTTATAAAATTTTTGCGTTTCTACTAACACTGATGTGTGTGAGATTGCCATCTTAAACACTAGTAGTATCTAAAAATCAATGTTGAAGAAAATCTAAATATTTTATGTGTCAGAACTCTCTCCCTCTCTCTCTTTTTTTTAATTATTTTCTATAGAATTCATTAAAAAATAAAAGAAAATCTTAATATTTTATGTACCATCTTCACCCTCAGACTAAAACTGTGAGGACCCCAAAATGGCACAATATGTTGAGAAATAATTCGATTGTAGCTTGCAGATGATGATTATGCGAGTTGGTTTGGAATTTGCTGGCTTTTATTGTTAGGGTAACAAGTTTCTTTCATGACTGTGTGTGTGTTGTTGACGATAGAAACATGCAACTAAAAGCATCACAAGCTTGGGGGCATCAAATATTAGACGATCAAAAACAAACACGGCATCAAATAATTGAATATGATCAATTTGCATTACCATCTTCTCATAATCTTGACATCAAATAATTGGGACATGTTGTCGATTATGACACTACGCTTGAATTATACTATTATTAATCATGCTTCTTATATTAACATGTTTATTATCTACACATAATGACACCTAATAAAAAGAGAGAGAAAAAATAAAAAGAAGGTAGATTATAAATTGTGCCTGTCATTATCGTTAATTACACATGTTAATGATTGGTTATCATTTTTTTAATGCAAATAATTGATTTTTTTTTTTGTGAGAATTTCGACCAAAAATGCTATACTCACTGCTTGCTAACATAAATCACCGCTTGTGATTGACAATTTCTCATACAACATGTTACTGAAAGAATGAGGATTTAGCTTAGGCTAATTGGTTAGAAATTGCAATATTCTATCGGTAAATTTAAATTTTTCAATTTGGGTACGATTATTATTTTTTAATTTTTTAATCAAATCAATCCATCTCGTTAGTTAAAATTTGGAAACGTTATTCACTTATGATGTTGAGACATAATACAATAAATGAAAAACACGTGTAAGTTTTTTTATTTTTTGCCAACCAATTTCACGAAGTGAAGTTATAAATTACACTCACCCCTGAATTAAAACAAAAAATAGGATTTTGAGAAAACTTTAAATCATTTAATCACTTTCTCTTGTTGCCGATGTTTTTTTCCACTCTCTATGTTTCTTCTCCCTCAACTCTTCCCTTCCACCAGCACCACCTCTCTTCCTCCCTCCTCCTCTGCCACGTTCCGTCTTCAAAGGTCGAAAAGGCGGAAGCTTTTTATTCTTGTAGCATCCCTAAACACGATTTTTTGTTTCGGTGATATCACAATCAACACCTGCGCTATTGACAACCTGATGAACCTTTATCCTTCAACTGGGCCAGCAACTCTGTCTTCGACTTTTTCCTCAACTCATTAAACTTTTTTCCTTGCCATTTTAAGGTTGTTGCAAGGCTCTATTGCTGCTGCTTCTCTTCATCAGTTCAGATGTGTTTGAATAGCCCAGTTATCGTTCATGATTGGATAAATCACAACGTATAATAAAATCTTGCCGTAAATTTGATTAGATTAGGATTTTTTTTTTTTTTTTTTTTTTGAGATATGTATTGTACTTTCTAGATTTCTTCTTTTAAGATCTGTACTATAGATCTCAAATATAGTGTTCTCTCTCTTCTGTATTTTCTTATAATTATTCTCAATTTTTTGTTTTATGTGCTAAACTGTGCTATTTGAAGGCTGCATTTTGTGAACTAAACCACCTACAAATTTGATAGTTGGTTGGGTAGTTTGAGGTTGGTTAGACTTGAGTTACATGCAATTTTAGGCAGTTTAGGAGGAAAAGAATAGAGGATGAGAGAGAGAAGGAAGGAAAAAAAAATGGAGGAAAAAAATCTAGCAATTTAATTTTTGTATGAATATTTTGATCGTTTCAATATCATGTGTTTGGATGTTAACATGATGGCTCGTCTTATTATAAAAATAAAAAAAAATAAAAAATTACGATATTTGAATTTAAAAAAATTAAAATTGAAATACTAGTTCACATTTGACCATTATTATAACGTATTATCAAACTAACTAGCATTTAACTTACGAAGTTGTCTAACCCAAAAGAGAGAAATAACTGTTCCAAAAATAAATTTATCCATCCTTAAATATTTTGGATTAAATTAAAAAAAAAAAATGTACCTATGTCACACGATGTTATTGTAATTTTTTTTTATTAACCTTGCAGACCGTTGGATTTTTATATCTCGTGCATGTCAATTCATCATGCACGTATTTGAATGGAATTGAATGGTATTTCTGATAAAGTTTAATATATCCCTATATAATTGGAAAAGTTTTCAATATATTTTTAATTATATTAATTATATATTATCTGATCTTCCAATATGTCATTTTGTAAGTTATTTTTAATTAAAAATTCCATTATATTATATAAAGGTATAATAGATTAACTACCCTCAAAATGTTTAACTACTCTCAACATGTTTTAAGAAATAAAGCTTTTCAAAATGCTCAACCATTAAATTTTATTTTATTTTTTCAAAAAATTATATATTAATGATATATTTAGAATGAAAGATACAAATATGTCAATTTGAATTTAAAAAAAAATTACACAAAGATCCATTAAAGAATAAAATATAACAGAAAAAAATAATAATAAAGACACAAAACTTAAGGAACATAATGAAGATTTGCTCAATTATCTAATAACAGATTGAGTAATTTACCCTTTTGGATAAGCAAAATGTCCTTAGACTACAAAGCAGTACAGTCGTTCTCGAAGTTGGGGTCGCTAATTCCTTGGTGTCTTGCTGGGCTCCAAGAACACCGGTTTTCTGCCAGCCAGTGGCGCGAGTGTCCTGATCAAGTTCCAAGGCAATGAATTTTAATTAGTGGACTACTGGTATTCTTTACCAGAGATTTCAGCCTTTCCAGGCCAAAGATTTTCTTTTCTCTCTTTCTGGCTTACTTTGTTGTATGCTTTGTAGAGTAATGCTAAACCAAAAAGAAGAAAAGAAGAAGTACTGGGCGCTTGTGGTGTGCCTTTGCCTCAGATCAGAGTGGATCTATAATTTACTAGGGCTCGAGCAGCTTCTCATTGTCCTTATTTTATGTTGTATTTGTATGTATTGGATTTGAAAAGAATCTTTTTTTCCAGTCTTTTCAGATCATCAGATGCTTTTCCCTTTCTTGTATTTCCCATTTTCATTGCCATGCTGATGCTGTGAGAGGTGAATAATCCTTGCTCCTACATGCGTTTGAATTTGTTATTATATTCTTTTTCTACCCCTTTTGTCATTATGTTCTCGTTATTATACGGGCCGGGCAGAATATTTGAGACAATATTGAGGCCCATGCTTGTAGCGTAGTGAAGATGGCTGCGCTCTTTGTTCTGAAGCCAGGTTAGGTTACGTAGGAAAAATCAATTTATATATATATATGGATATGGTGATTTTCTAAGCACAAATTCGTGTTTCCAAAAAGAAAGGCAACAAAATTAATATGGATCTATACATTAATATGCTCTCTCTATCTAACTGTTGTAACAACAAAAGAATTTTGGTTACATGTTTTTGCTTTTTTCTTCTTCTTCTAATTTTTGCCCTTTCTTCTCTGGCTCACTCAAACTTTTAGTGCTACAAGTACTAACATCGTTGCTACATGATCTCCAGAGTTAAGTTTAGTGGTTAAATATGTTTGTTTCTTTCTATAATTTTGTATGTTCGAGAAAAATTTTATCTGATTGGGTCCCTACCCTAAAGCAGCCCATCTGAATCTGATTCGTGTCAGCTGCTTCATTGGATTTCCCAGGGTGTTAATGAAGTGAGATACTCAAAAAGAAAAAGAAGGCATCGAGAAAAGAAGCTTTTAAAAGGGGTCCTCTCTGTTTTGCTTGGCGCAACAAAAAGCTCCAAAGGTAATCAACTTGATAAAAACATCAAGTCTCTAGAGATTGTAAAAGGTGTGCCTTTTTTAATTCACCAATCTCTTTGCCTTTTTCTTCATCATAGCCTTATCAATTGAGAACCCCCAAAATTAAAATATATACATTCCAGCAGTTCTTTTTATTTTATTTTTTTCTTTCTATCATGGCAAGTTTGTCCCATGTTAGCCAATTTCATGGGCAAATCTCGAAATTTCCACTTTATAATTGGCGGCTTTCATTTATAGTGTATAATAAATACTATTGGCTTCAACATATAGATATGAATCCGTACGTGCCATTGATGTGTTGTTGCTGCCAATATGGTCCAGCATGTTATTCTGATAGGCAAATGTTGGAATAAGGTAGATGCCCATAGCCAATGTACAACCGACACGATGAATGATTGTGCTTCTTCTCTATTTTAAACGACACCCAAGATGAGATCGCAAAAATAAAGAAGTCAAATTGATGCTTCAGCGGTTGCCATCAAACATGTCCACAAAAAGTTGGAAAAAACTCAATTCAGTCTAAAATTTTTATATTCATTTCAATTGAATCTCAAATCCATAAAATATATTAATTTGATCCTGAACGTTTTCAAAAAACAAAATTAAAATAATAATTAAATCAAGTCTTTTTTTATTAATGAAAATCGATATTTTCTTCAAACTTTCTTTAAATCGTTTCCCTTTTAGTGCGTAGAGATACATATTAGATAAACAAAATGTAAATATTTATTATTTTTTTCTTCTAATTTTCATAAAAACAATTTCATTTTGGTGCATAAAGTATATATATATTAGACTTAAATTATTAAAATAAATTGACAGAAAGAAATGATTGGAAAGCGTAAGAAATATTTAGAGTACAAATTATAATAATACATATAATGGCCACATGTTTCTTTTTGGTTTATTGTAACTAACCGTGTCACTACTCCTCCTGAATGCTATTCTCTTTGCTTGATTTGTAGTATATATATGACTATCTTTTGAAAAATAAAAAGACAAACACTGCCACAGACTGCAAAGCAAACTAATAATTTGTTCTGTATTTCACAAAAAATGACATAAAAATAGAAGTTAGAATTAGGATTTGTTTAACGGTAAATATACTTATATTTTGTTATATAATACTTAAAGTTTTCTATTTGTTTTTAGATTTTCAAGTTCATAATATCTGTCTTTGAAATGTTCAACTTATTTTTTTAATCAAATTTTTCAATCATAATTTTTTTGTTTCCAATGTCATCACCTTATTTTTACCTTCATAAAAAAGAGAAAAAAACCAATTAAAAAGAAATTAAAAAATTAAAAGTAGAAGTTAGAATTAGGATTTGTTTAACGGTAAATATACTTATGTCTTTATATAATACTCAAAGTTTTTTATTTAATTTTAGATTTTCAAATTCATAATATCTCGTTTTTGAAAATTTTTGAAATGTTCAATCTATTTTTTTAATCAAATTTTTCAACCATAATTTTTTGTTTCCAATGTCATCACCCTATTTTTTCCCCCACAAAAAATAGAAAAAACCAATTAAAAAGAAATTCAAAAATTAAAAAAAAGAAAATAATAAAAAGAAAAGAAAAAAGAAAAAGGGAGGAATTGGGCCTAGATAAGGATGAAAAAACAAAAAAAGAAGGGAGGAATTGGCCTACATTAGACATTGGGTTAGGCCTGATTAATAATAAAAAGAAAAATCAGAAGAAAAAAGAAAAAAATCGAATTGGTGCCACTATATAAGTTTACTGATCATGTCCGGCTACCATCTCTACCTTCTATACAAATGTCTCAAATTTCCAGAGACCACAGGCATTGGCTATGAAAATCGTTACAGAAAAGCTTGGGTCGAGAGAGTGTTGCTGGTTTGAAAATCTTTACCAAATTTAGCATTTGTCGATCAACTTAGTAAATAACATCCATAATTAATATACTGATGAAATGGCATGCATGCAGGTAGAGGGAAAAGGCATGGGCCTATATTTAACAGTAATTACTAGCACCATAACAGCATCAAGTTTCCTGGCATCAACCTCTCGAGCTCTGAGCTCTCCGATTGGAGCATAGGTAGGCTGTAGGCAGCTTTTTGCATAACATCTTCCTAAGTAGTATCATATATGTTGATACAAGTTCATCTGTCATCTCTGTCAAGTACATCAGCCTGCTCATATGTTTCCTTGTGGCTTTTGCTTCTTTTCTTCAATGTGCGAGGCTGTTAGTCCATGCCAACTTCCTTTGGTCGATTGGGTTAAGAGCAATCTACTTTGCCACAAATTTGCTGCTGTGGATTTCTGGTCCAATACCCATGTTTGTAGTAGCTTCATTAGTTATGGTGGTGATTTTGAACATTCTCGACACAAATTCAACCCCACTCCATCAGTTTCAATCAGCAAAGAGTCATAACCTGTTCGAGAGGATGGGTGAGGAGGTATCTGCACTTGCAACAGTAATTGAGCGCCAAGAAATGAAACTTGGAGTTGGTAAATCTTCAGGTCAGGAGTCACAATATCATCCACAAGCATGTCAAGGATCATAGAAACAAGAGTGGATGAGCTCAGTGTGTGAGATGCAGTGTCCAGTTTTCCATTAAATTTATCAGGTCTTCCAGTCCAGCATGTAATGGAATGTTTGTCACGCAATTTTCTTTAGAGAGGCCAGCAAATTAGTCTTTCACACCACCAGTGGTAGCCTTTAATCCTTTGACTCACCCTTTTAGCAGCTTTCTAACAAATGCTCATCACTAGTAAAATTATGAAAAATGAAAATGAAAAAATTGAGAAGTTTATTCATTGGCCTAACAATTCTAACATCTCTTCAAAATTTGTAAATAGAATAATAACCAATATGGCACAAAGTTATGTGCGAAGCTGATATAAAGCATGTCATCCTCTAAGCAAGCTAATAGTACAGCATGGAAAATCGAGTGAAAAAGATCATGAACATGTTAAGTGAACTAAAAATTGAATATAGTTGCATGACTAAAATCGATTATGATGATTTTTTTTTGTTCTAATTACAAAAAAGCTAAGAGACCAGAAACCTATTCCTGTAATTCTCTCTTTCATTGCTGTGTATTGTCTGGATTTTGATCTCCCTGGCTGCTCGTCAAATCAGCACCATCTGTAGCACTCTCAGATGGGGAGTTTGGTGAACCTGACTGCCCACTAGCTTTACTTTCAATTTCTTCATCAGTACCGCGTTCCAATAAAGAGTTGAAAGCAAGCTGGGCAGAATAAAGGAACAAACCAACAGAATTGATGCCAAAAACAAATGTTGCAAGGTAGCACAAGCCATTCACAATAGTCCTGCAAATAGCAGAAAGATGTCACTATATTGCATAAGTTTAACTTAAATTGTAATGCGACAAGGTAGCAGCAGCAGGACCTACCTAATAGTTATTGTTATTTGCCGCACCTGAAATACAGTAAATGTATAAGAGTGAGAACTAGCGTGTAATGTAGACATTGAAACAATCTTTAAACTAGAGTTTTACAGATAACGATAATCAGCAATATGTGGTAACAATGCAAGAAGTGTTAATCTCACACATGACACAGTGTGCACAAGAACATGCTAACTTGAAGTTTTATGATTCCAATTGCACTTGGGAAAACAAAGCTAACTAAAATCAACGAGTAGAAAACAATCCAACAAAGTAAGGCAAAAGGGAGAACGTGGGACAAACCGAGAAATTATCTGACACCGTCTGGCGGTTAAGAGCTGCCTCAATAGTCATGGTGAACTTATAGAGAATAAGTGCGATCACACCTGCTGATATTGCACCTAAAAACGCCTGAACAGGGGAAGGAGGCTTCTTAACATCGATGGAAGCTGATCCAATTGTCTTCAAACTATCTAATGCTTCCTCTTTCAAGGTCTTCTTTGCCCCTGATGACCTAAATTTCTAAACACACAGGATCGACTGTCACACTCAAAAATCCTATTTAACTACAATATCAAATGAGTTAAATGAAAGGAAATAAAATCCAACAGCTTGTTTGGAGTTCGAATTGAATCATAATAACATGTAGTGGGAACCAACAAAACCTAGTTTCAACTCCCAAAACATTATCGATTGAAGAGAATTGAACCACACAAAACGTAGCGTGATTCAGAAGTTCACAGTGGAAGTTTAAATGAAAGCAAATCCATCAAATTCAAAATCCAGCATTAAAACAGCAGATATATGTAAATTCCCATAAGAATGTAACAGCAATAAATCCACTGATCTTTTAATTAATAAATGGGTAATTGTAAAATTCCTCAAAGAGTAGAGCAACAAGGCAACAAAATCCCACCAAAAACCCACCTCCTAAAACTCCAAACTGAAACATATTTAACAGATAACAAAAGCTGAATCATGGGAGAGAACCACTAAATTGTGCCAAAATAACATAATCCCACCAACCAAAGTCACTTCCTCTAATTCCAATTTCCATATGAGGAACCAATAACAGCAGAAAAGTTAAGGGAAATACCAGTTCTTTAGAACGCTTAGCACGGCGTCGAAGAGAGCGGAAGAGAAAAACAGCAATGGCACCAGTGAGGAGAACACTAGTAGCAACCTGAATAGGAGCAGGATCATCTGAGGTTGCAAAAACGGAAGGAGAAGACTTCAATAACTCTATGGGACCTTCTTCTTCCAGTTCCGGTTCCGGTCCTGGTCCTGGTAACTGGGCAAGCCATAGTGGGTCTGGTCTGGAGCGAGGGAGGGCTGAGAGAGTGGTGGTAGTGGTGGGTTTGAGGAGAAAGTTAAGAGAAAAGGAACGATGATTAGAGTGGTGGTGCGAAAGAGGGAAAATTTGGGGAGAGAGAGTGTGGAAGTTGTGGCATTGTAAACGCAACATTTGAGAGGTTTTGTAGAAATGGAGGGAAAATGTGTGTTTCTGCGTCTTTGGGATCCTTTGGATTATCTTATCTTCTTCTTTCCACTTTGGAGTCCATCGTATCTTTGCCCCTTCACAATTTTCATATATATATACTAGTTAGTTTTTTAACCCTCGCTGCACTTGAGATTTGATAAAATATATAAAATTATTTTTAAAAAATTATTTTATTTTGAAATATCATGTTATATTATATATCTATAAAAATATATCAAATCAAAACTGAATAAAAAATTATTTAATTTTATTATTTTTTAATCAAAATTTTGTATTTGACTGATTTTTTTTATATTTCATAAGTTTTTTATTAAAAAATATTTATTTATCTTTATCCATATTTTTAGCTAAAACCTCATTTTGTAAATTTTTTTTTTCTAAACATCTTTTTGCCTTAAAATTTTTAATTTTAAAAAAAAATTTGAACCAAAATAAAAAAAATATTTACAAATTAAAAAAATATTTAAAAAAGGAGGACCAAAGTATAATATCATGAAAACTTTCATAATAAATGTCTTAAAAATATGTTAAAACTAAAACAATGTCATTACATAGTGAAATGAGTCTGAATGAATAATATTTCAAATAGTGCGGTAAATAATAATTAATGATTTTAGTTTAGTTTTATTGTAATGTTTTTTTTTTTCTAAACATCCTTTTGCCTTAAAATTTTTAATAAAAAAAAAAAAACAAGAACCCAAGTGATCAAAATGAAAAAAAAAGTGGAACCAAAATCAAATAAAAAATATTTACAGATTTAAAAAAAATATTTAAAAAAGAAATATTAAAGCGTAATGTCATGAAAACTTTTATAATAAATATCTTAAAAATATTTAAAAACTAATAAATACTACCGCATAATGAAATGAATAGTGCATCTAAGTTTAAGTGAATAGTGAAATGAATTTGAATGAATAATGTTTCAAATAGTATAATGAATAGTAACTAATGATTTTAGTTTAGTTTTATTGTAATTGTAATATCTTAGGGCATGTGGCATAAAGGAGTTATTATTCGATTATTCAATTTAGTTTTGATTTTTTTTTTTTTTTGGTTTTTGATTAACCAAATTGAGGTTTGGTTTTGCGATTAAAAAATCAAATTTTCTAGTTTGGTTTTTCGGTTTTCGATTAAAAATTGATTTTTTTTTCATCTTTTCTTCGAATTTTGAATTTTCTCTCGGATCAAGCTAAAAGGCCACTTTTTTGCAATTTTTTTTTTTTCAGTTTTCAAGGAATGCTAAAAGCTTGAATTGAAGTTTTAGCAAAGAAAATCATAGGAAAATGCTACGGCTAAAGTCCGAGTGGTTTTCTATCTACCAAAAATTTAGATATAATAGCTTAAATAGTACTCATCCCTAACTAATTCTATACCAAAAAACTTGTAGCCCGAGTAATAGTGATCTTTTGCAAAAGGTTTCGGGTTCAAATCTTAACAGATTAGTTCTACTAAAAGCCTTAGGTGTGTGTATTAAAAAAAATACTAATTCTATTTTCGAGTGAAAACCAAGTTTAAAAAGAAAAAACGAACTAAACGAAATAATTTCGGTTTCATTTTTTTTTTTTAATTTTTTGTACAAAACCAAATCGAAATTGCTAATTCGGTTCGGTTTGGTTTTAACTCGAATAATGCTCACCCCTAATTGGGGATATCAAAATTACAAAATTTAGTGTGTGTGTGTATATATATATATAAACTGTTATTTTTTCTATCACGTGATATTAATTTATTAGTTTTAATTAATCATACATTAGATAACTTGCCCTTAATTAAAAATTCTTTTTATAAGGATTTGTTTTAATTTAAAATATTTTAATTTATGAAATATATTATTATTTTGGATGTTATTTTCACTAGTAAAACTCAAATTAAAAAAAAAAAGACAGACGTACTTTATTGCAACAACTGAAAAAAAAATTATAATAAGAAAGATTAAAAATCATGCATTTGATTAAAATAAAATAAAATTGGTGTACCAATATTAGCGAATTAAGATCAAAAGACACATAATTGACTAAATATGGATGAAAATACTTGTTTGAAAGCTTTGAAAAAATCAATATATTTAAAAAAAAGGTTTATGTATTTAATTGAAAAAAAAATATAAACTTCAGTCTGATTACAGTTGTTAGTTGTGACTATGATGCTACTAAAATGCTTTTATTTTATACATACGAGATTCAAAAGTCTAAAAAATTCATTTTATATCTCAATAATAATATTTTACCAAATATTTTTTTCTTGACTTTTAAATAAAACCAAAAAAAGATATGATATTTTAGAAGATTCACTGAGAATTTTATTTTTTATGTTTTATCTGAAAGAGTTAATGAACTTGTTAGATCAACAAGAGCACAACCATTTAACCACCATACCAAACATCTTTTATTTTAAAAATGGAAAATAAATTCTCAGAATTTATAATAGCAAGATATTTTCAATTCATAAGCTTTTGTGTATATATATATATATATATATTATCAATTGATTTCTTAAAATAAATGTATGGATTAACTATAAAAATACCTCTTATTTATAGAATCATTATCAATATTGTTCTTCACCAATTTCTTTCATTAATTTCACCCTTCACATTACCAAACATTTTCAATGCTACCATTCCGTACTCTTTCCATCCAAATTGGTTAACAAAACATATTAAACATTCACGTGGAAACTCCAAAATTTAAAGATTAACAAAATTTATTGTTTAAGTTTTAAAAATTCAATTTAAGTTAAAAATTTGGAAAAATTGAATCCCACATGGACTCAAAATTTAAAGAATAAAACAAATTTAAAGTTAGAATTTAAAAAATTGATTTTTTCTAGTTCATTTCAATTCATTCTATTTCAATTTTTTTACTATCAATTTTGTTTATTACATTCTAAATTTCAAAAGTCTTTAAATTCTAGAGTTGTCACAAAGATATTTAATGAAAGTATGTTCGTTGATGTGGATGAAAAGTGGACAAAATAGTACAATTGAAAAGAATTAGTAACGTTAAGGGTAAAATTGACCAAACAATTGGTGAAGGGAAATATTGAAAATGATCCTATAGATAAAGAGCATTTTTGTAGTTAACCCTAAATTTATCTTTCTATTGTTTATGTTTAACATCTATGAACCCAAGTTATGATAAATACCAATATATATATATATGATTGTAGAATTCCTCAACCCGCTTGGTTGAGAAAAAAATTTCTTTCCCTCACCCCTTTTCCAATAATCATGGGTTGAGAATGGAGGATGCTGAATCCATCTTGAACCTGCTCCATTCCAATCCCTACGATTACATTAGCAAGTAATATGGTAAATAATGTTTGAGTAACAAAACTTCAGCATGTAACCATTCCATTAGTTGGTGATAAAAAAAAAGAAAAAGAAAAACTGTTTTTATACTTCGATCCATCAAGAAAATGTTATTATTACAAGTTGTTGTATCTGTAAAGAATCATTAGAAAAGAATCAGTAGCAACTCATTTCTTATTCCCTCCATCTAAGCAATTTCTGTAATTCTCTGTCTGGGGAGTGGTGTGGCATATTCTTGGAACAAAATGATGCACGGCACAAAATGAAATGGAGGAATTGCACAAGCCCTAACAATCGACCTTCTGATTATGTCAAGTATTATATCGAATCTTGGGTCTAGCGCACGTTGGATGCGACAGATCGGGCCCAAAACTTGAGTTGCGCCTTCATTTCTTGTGCAGAATTTTTGGCAGCCCAGACTGGGTCACAACTTGTTACTTGCCAAGAACCAGAGGGATAAGGCTCCCTCACCTTATGATCTTGATCCTGCTTTATATGTTTTTTCTTCTCTTGCAAACCAGCAAATATCTCAACCATACTTGGTGGATTTAAGTCTTTTTTGTCGAATTTGAATCCCAAGTCCTTAAACCCTTGCACTTCATGAAATTCAACATTGCTTAGGCTCTTGTCCAGTTTCCTTTGATTTTTAGGATAACTAATATGTCTTGTTTCATAAGTACTATTCCTCAATGCATCACTGCTTTCCACCTCCAAGTTTCTTGGTGGTCTGTGCTTGGGCGTGATCATCTGCAAATAATTAACGTGTTCGTAACATCAATATATATATATATATATATAATTTGTAACATGCATTAAGCAACACATTAAAAATAATTAACATCCAAATTAATTGTTACTAGACCAATTCGGCAGAAATGGAATTGAAGCATAGCATGATCATAGTTGATAGTACTGGTTGGTACCTTAGAACTTGGTTGGCGAGGCAAGATATCCGAAGAGAGAGGCATTGCTTGCCGAATCAATTTGCTCATTGTAATTTCATCACTCTCGTTTTCTAATTCAATCATTTCTTCCCTCCCAATATAAGGTGGTAAAGATGGTGTTCTTAGCAAACTATGCTGTGATGATTTGCCGGCCTCCATCATTTTGCTCCTCCTAGTAAGACTTGCTTTTTCTTCACTTTTTCCTTCCTTCTTTTTCACACAACTTGGTTTTTGAATCAAGATTTGATCTGATAATTGCCTAGTCAATTTTCTGCTCATTCCAGCAGTACTGCTCTCTATCTCGTGTATTTTCTCTTCTGATCTCCCTATATTAGGTGGTAAGGATGGTGCACGAGTCAAATTACCTGGAGTGACTGATTTTCTTGTGGATGAAGATATTTGACTCGACGGACAAGTCTTTGCTAAAATTTGTTGATCGAAGTTTGGAGAAGGATCAGAATAGCACCTGAGCATCTTCGGTTGGCTGTTGCTGTTGGCCACCAATTTGCCAAAGAACCAACCCTCTTCCAAAAGCTGATGAACAGCTTCTTCAACTTTTGGATCACCTGATATAGTACTAGTACTGGTAAGCGATGAAGGCTCAAAGGAGTCATCATCAAAACAATTATTCATTGCTAGCTAGAACAAGTTGGGTGGGAGAGAGAGAGAGGCCCACGATATTTTTAGTTGTAGTAGCGTTTGTAATCTTCTATATATATTCTGATGTTATCTACTATTAATTGCAGCTGGCAGATGCAAGATGGGCTTGACAAAGGAGGTGATGTGGGGCAAGGCAGCATGTGCTTTTGGCTCTTCCAACTTCTGATATTGGTAATTAATTGTTGTCAATTTAATTCTGACAACTAAGAACATAGGTAAGATTTAGCAATAACATATGTCATGCCAGCACACTAGCTCCCATGTGGGTGCATTTGTCTATGAAGCAACCCAAGAGAGTCTCGTCTAGTATCGTATCATCTCATCACGTAATTGTTTTTTTTTTTTTTTTTTTTTTGTTTAAGATCCATTTGAGACAGCTAACATACTGGAAAAAGAAGATTAAGCCAAAAAGAAGATTTGCTATTCATTTATTTGGTTTTGTCTATTTCTGTGAAGAGGTCTCCTTCAAATATTAAAGAAAGGGGGCAAGAAATTTGATTGATGTAGACGGTGGCCACAAATTTCGGCATGTTTTTGCTTCGTTAACCTACTCTTCAATTGTCAATGAATTATTCCCTAATCGATACTAGTTAATAAAATAAGTTCTGAGCTCCCACCTATTCTTTGTAATAAAAATAAAATAAAATTAATTCTTGAATTTATTTAGAGTTGTTTTAATATCAATTTGATATTCTATTTGCCTTTTTTTTTATTAAAAAATAATAATTTGAAAAAAAAATTAAAAACTTAAAATAATTTGAAATTTTGTTTGTTTCTGCCTCTGTTTTTTAAAAACTTAAAAAAAAAAAAAAAGTAACAAAACCAAATAAAATATTCATTATAATTGTGATGGTTAGTTTTGCCTTTTATTTAATACGAAACTCAAAACAATCTATCTTATTATATAGCTATAGTTTGGATTCCATTCCTCCTCGTATGTTACACCTGTCCTCTTTGTGAAATTTAGAAATCAAATCTTTATATAATCTTCTCTAATAGGTCCTAGTGTCCTTTTTAATGGTAGCATTGCCTCTCAAAAACCAAATAAATAAATACATAAACGAAAAAGAAAAAGAAAAATAATTTTGAAAACCTATATAAAAATGTATGCAGTAGAATTTAAAAAACCAAAAAACATGTGAAAAAACCAGAAAGACAAACTTTTAGATAGAATTTGATAGAACTCATTTATTTCAAGAGATAAAATGAAATTAACTCAATTCGTTGCAAGGACAATGATGTAAGTTTTGCTTCGAGGTAGGGTTTTTTTTTTTTTTTGGGTGTGTGTCTTCTATTTTTATTTTATGGTTTTTAATTTTTTTTCAAGTTTTTCTATCTTTGAGATTTTTCAAAATAATTTTCTATTTATGTATTGAAGGACAATTTCTCATAAAATAAGGTAACAGAAGGACCTATTAAATAGCGTGCGAATGTTCAAGGATTCGATTGACAGCCTTTAACTTTCGAAGATGCTTGGTAGGAAGATACAAAATCAAGTGTAATTATGCATAGATTAAAAAAAGAAAAATTATTAAATCATGTCTGTTGTTAGAATGCAATGACAAGCTGTAAGTAAGACATGTGAGTTGACCAAACACCTACTTGTAGGAGGATGATGCATATGAATATCTGCTGTTGTGCAGTTCGATTGTTAGATTTTCCGACCTCTTTTTCATCATTTTGTACGATTTTCTAAAAGAGAAAAGGTGAATTACGAATTTCAGAAAGAAAGAATTTTTATTTGAGGAAGAAAAAAATAATAAGACAAACTTCTCTCTTCAAAATAATTTACTCAAACCTCATGCAGTTACAATTGTCTTTTCGGGAGGGCTAGCGGTAATTTTTATAGGACTAATAAGAAAAGAAGTCTAGAAGTTAGAGACTAAATTGTCTTTGAAGATTTGAAAGGTCGTAACCCCTTATCTTTAGCTGACGCACTGCCTCTGTCAATGTTGGACTTATAGCTTCTTTTTTTTTTTTTTTGGAGTAATAGTCTAGTAAATAGAATGTAAGTAATTATTAAGGAGTTTCGAAGTTGGTTAGTTGATGATATGGGTAGACATGATCGTTTTGTGAGTACAGGGACTGTTTTGTTTTATTCTACTTCTCCACTGGAACTGATAAGAGAACGAGAGGGAAAGATGAGCTTTCTGCCTTTTTTTTTTTTTAGTTGTCATTTGCACTTGACAGTCACGTCTCCATAACGTGTTATTACATGGAAAACTAGTCTTATTAACCAACGACGTGTACATATATAATGAGAAAAATTAACGAAAAAAATAACGGAAACATTTAATTAAAAAATAATAATTTAAAATTGACATACTTAATTAAAATGTTAACAATTTCGTAAACTGAAAATATAATTAGCCCCGTAAAAAACCTTGTCACTACAAGGTTATGATACAACTGGAATGCCATCATCTTTTAAAAAATATGTTCTTCTGTAAATAATGATAAGATTTGATGCCAATGCACGTATCGGTGTAGTATTATATTGCGTTTATCTTTTACAAATTATTATTAAAAAATTTACTAGATGTCTTTTTTTAGTTCCAAATTAAAATTTGAGCAACCTTTTAAATATTGTTTGGATGCCTGCGTAACGTCTTAATAACTATTTTAAATCGCTGATATGTTTTTTTAAAGAGTCTGATAATGATTTTTTTTTTTTTTTAACCATGCTTTTAGAAGATTATTAAAACTGAATCTTTTGAGCTATTTATTTATCCCATTTCATAGTTTTAGAAGAGTTTGATATTGATTTTTTAAAATGATATTCTTAATTATTCCAATTAAAAAAAAAAAGTTTTGAAGATTTCTTGATTGTTGATACACTAAACTTCGGTTATTAATTTTTCATTATACTTTTTTTTTTAAGAATTTGTTTTTTCTATCTACTCTTTGTTTCATAAATTAAGAAATTAATTTTATTACTTAGTCGTTATAATAGTTGATGCAATTCAACTAATTAATATTGATGACATGAAACTTTTGTTATCCTCTTATAATTTAATCTAAAAAGTATTATATATATAAAAAAAATGAAGAATATATATAATAACAAACATTAGTAATTTATTAAATCTTAATATATTGATAGAAAAAAATACCCATTAATTATATAGTTTTTAATTAATTAAAACTTATTATTTTTTATGATTAATGAATTAAATTATGTGATCAATGTATAACATATATTACGCTATACGCTACCGTAATCGGGAGAGATGCCCTGTAGATAAGATTTTTCTAATAATTATTTCAATTTTATATAGTTAAGCCAAGCTATACGCTACGGTAATCGGGAGAGATGTGCGGTTTTTCGATTGGTCCAATGGGTTTGTGTTAAATAATATCTACTTTCAATTTTTTATTACGATTTTGAGATGAATAATGAATAACAGGAGCACATAGAAACTTCACTGTGAGTTTACCATCTTAAGCTGCAATAATGAAAGATAGTAGAGTAAATTATAAAATTCAGTCTCTGTAGTTTTGAGAAATGAATTAATTAGTTGAAAAACTAATTATTTGATCCTTATGTTTTTAATTTTTTTTATAACTTAATTATTTTTGTTTTTGTTTTTGTTTTTTAATTTAATTTATTTTTTGTTTTAAAAAAATAAAAAAAGAGAAAAAAATGATTGATGAGAAATAATGATAATTTTTAAAATAAAATAATATTAAATTAAAAGTGATAAATATTATTTAAGAAAATAAACAAAATAACCTCATTAATTCATTTCTAAAAAATAAAGGAACTAAATTTATAATTTACTTAAGATAATACTGTAAAAAAATAAAATAAAAATTGGGTTGTAGTTAGACATAAAAAAAGAAAGAGAAATAGAAAAAAATAAAAAAATTGAATGAATATGAAAAACTTCTTATCATTTTTAATATGAATTCAAATATATATATATATATATATTTATGTGTCTATTTCTCTTTTTAAAACTGAATATATAAAGTAATTAATACACATAGTATTAATTGCTTATTTAAGTATTATATATATATATATATATATATATATATATATTTGTAGTTAGCAGGTCTTCATCTCCACGTGGCCCTTTTCTTGGGTTTCCTAATGCCTGTCTTTGCATCAAATAATGCATATTTTGTGAGAATAACAACCGCATGTTGCTGCAAGGCGAAGAGACTAGTAATTGTTATCTTGAGTCAAAAAGTTTACGGAATTGCGAAATTTCCGGGTTAACTGGTGGATAACCACACTCTTGGCATTTATTGGTCCTCAGGTTTCCAGCAATTAATCCGTTGTTGCCTACCTGGGATAGAAAAATATATATACGTTGCTACCTACCTCCGGAGAAACAGAACCACACCATAAACATATCTGTACAAGGCTGTTCGATTGAGCAGAAGTTAATTAACCTACTGCGAAAATGAAGGATCCCGGCGGCCCCAATAAGTCAAATTTTCGCATTCTGATGTTCCCATGGTTTGCTGTTGGTCACATGACCCCATTCCTCCACCTATCTAACAAGCTTGTAGAGAAAGGTTGCACCATCTCGTTCTTGCTGCCCAATAAAGCCATTAAACTACTAGAACATTTCAATTTATATCCTGATCACATCACTTTCTACCCTTTGAAGGTTCCTCATGTTGAAGGTCTCCCTCTTGGCACTGAGACTGCCTCCGATATTCCTATCCACTTGACTCATTTTCTTTGCGTTGCCATGGATCGCACCCGAGACCAAGTTGAGAAAATAATACGCGACACAAAACCTGATTTTGTCATGTATGATTTGGCATATTGGATACCTCAAGTGGCTAAGCCCCTTGGGATCAAGGCAATAAAATACTCTGTGGTTTCTGCTGCTGCAACAGCAATAGTTCTCGTCCCAGCACGTAATGTTGTCAAAGATAAGCCCATGACCGAGGATGAATTATTAGTGCCACCCGCTGGCTACCCATCAACTTCTGTGGTGTTGCGAGGCCATGAAGTGCGTTCATTGTTCTTTGTTTCACAACCTTTTGGGGAGGGAACAACTTTTTATGAGAGGACCTGTGCAGCAATGAAAGAATGTGATGCAATAGCTATAAGAACGTGCTATGAAGTTGAAGAAAAGTTGTGTGATTATATGGGCAGCCAGTACAGGAAGCCAGTTTTTTTAACGGGACCCGTGTTGCCTGAACCATCCAGGACTCCATTAGAAGACCGGTGGGCTCAATGGCTAAACGGTTTTGAACCGGGCTCAGTGGTATTTTGTGCATTTGGAAGCCAACACATCCTTGAAAAGGAACAGCTTCAAGAATTGGTTTTGGGGTTCGAGTCAACAGGTTTGCCATTTTTAGTGGCTTTGAAGCCACCAGTGGGTTCATCAACAATCGAAGAAGCATTACCAGAGGGGTTTGAAGAGAGGACTAAAGGGAGAGGAGTGGTTTGGGGTGGATGGGTGCAACAATTGAAGATCTTAGATCATCCATCAGTAGGGTGTTTTGTGAGCAGCTGTGGGTTTGGATCGATGTGGGAGTCTTTAATGAGTGATTGCCAAATAGTATTTGTGCCGCATTTGGGTGACCAAATCTTGAACACTAGGTTAATGGCTGAAGAGTTAAAAGTGGCAGTGGAGGTGGAAAGGGATGAGAAAGGATGGTTTACAAAGGAGAACCTAAGCAATGCTATCAAGTCCGTAATGGATAAAGATAGTGAAGTGGGTTCCATGTTGAAAAAGAATCACACCAGATGGAGGGAGATGTTGGGAAACCAAGGGTTCATGAGTAGTTATATTGACAAGTTTTACCAAAATATGCAAGAACTTATTGATTAAAGTTTGTCATTTCTAATTTTTAATTACCAGAGAAGTCACCGCTAAAGGATGTGGTATAGCCGTAAAGGGATTGTCTTGATTAAGATAAAGATTTAATTCTCACTATCAATAAATAACTAGTTATAATTATTCCTTAGTAGTACCAAACTTGAGCTGATTTGATTTAAGAAGCAATCCGAGTAATCGATTAAAAACTAAATGTATTCTAGTGTTGGATTAGCTCAATAAGTAATGGACTTAAGAAGTAATAGATTTAGTTTCGATTGATGTAAAAACTAATCCGAGAATACCTACTACTTATAAATAAAATGTTTATTTAAATTTGTATCTATAGTCCGATTGATGATGTTTAAAGTGGAACTTAATTTGACATTTTCATTTCATAGGTTTTGTTTTCAACCTTATTTTTAATATATGCGATTTCAACTTGTTTTAGTAGTTAATGTCCTTTTAGTTGTGCTATGATTTAGGTTTCTTTAAATCTTCACTTTCCTAAACAATTCAACCGAATGTTGGATACTTGTTGTGTGCGGTTTGAATTTATAAGCCAATAATATATTTGTCTCATTAGATTTTTTTCTTTTATAGGTATGAGGTATTTAAACCTCATTACTCTATTTGAAAAATAGATCGAAAGATAAAGACTTTGCATTGAGCTTCTAGAGTTCTTGTATTCTTCCGTTAACAACCTAATAAAACTTTTCTCTATCCCATGGAGTAGGCAATTTGTGGAGCCACGTAAATCCTATGTGTTGATAATTTATTTAGCTTCATCTTTTGATTATTTTCTACCATTACTTGTCTTGTTTTTGCTATTTGTCATAACAAATTGGTATTAGAGCCTAGATTAAGCATCTTTTGTTTTTTTTTTGTGTTCATAATGGCATCTCTCGAAATTTGATGTTTCACCTTTTGATGGTCAAAATAATTTTGGCCTATGGAGGATAAAGGTGAAAGCTTTGTTGCGGCGTGAAGGTTTTGTGAAGACAATTGAGGATATATACCTAGATGACATGTCTTTTGTCAAAATTGAAGAGATGGATGAGAAGGCTTATAGTGCTCTATAATTATTATTGTCAAATAAGGTACTACGAGAAGTCGCAGATGAAGAGACAACGGTGAGATTGTGAAAGAAGTTGAAAAGCCTCTACATGAAGAAATCTTTTAAAATAAGATTGTTTTTGAAGCAACATCTTTATACACTAAAGATGCGAGAAGGTACGCTATTCAAAAATACCTTGATGAATTTAATAAGATTGTTATGGATATGAAAAATCTTGATATTAAACTTGATGAGAAAGATCAAGATCTTATTGTATTATGTTCATTACTCGCTTCGTATGAGGATTTTGTTAATTCAATGTTGTATGGTAGAGAGTCCATAATTTTAAAGGATGTTAAGGCCTCTTTGAATTTTGTTGAGCTGAGACATAAGCTAAATGGTAAAGCCATTAATAGTTAGGTCGATGGTTTACTAGTAAGGGGAAGACGGAAGGATAGAGAGGGTTTTAAAGGAAGACCCAAATTTCGTTCTAGGTCAAGATCATTCTCGGATAAGAAAGACAATGTTGAGTGTTACTATTATCACAAGAAAGGACATTATAAATTAGATTGTCCTACTCGAAGAAAAAAAGAAACCAAAGGTTAAAGTTTTAAGTGTGTTAATGTGACAAAGACTACCGATGTTGATGTCACTAAAAGTGTTCTTGTTGTATGTCCTCTAGATGGTCGCTCCGATTAAGAATAGGTTTTGAATACTCGGTGCTTCTTATCATATGTGTCCAAATAAAAAGTGATTTATCACTTATGAACCTATAAGTGATGGCTCTATTTTGATGAGCAACAATTCAGCTTGTAAGATGATTGGTATTGGTATAATTCATAATCATGTGTTATGATTCGGTTGTGAGGACTTTAATGAAACTAAAATATACACCGATTTAAAGAAAAATATAATTTTTTTAAGTAATCTGGATTCAAAAGGTTATGGTTATTTTGGTAAAGATGGAATTCTTAAGGTTTCTAAAGGTTCTTTGGTTGTGATGAAAGCAATTCAAATTAATCATCTCTATATGTTACAAGGTAGTATAGTAACATGCTCTACATGGGTGATTACTTTCTACTCTAAAAAGAAAAGAACTCAATTGTTGCATATTCGTCTAGGGCACATGAGTGAGAGAGTTATGACTACTTTGAGTATACTTGATTTACTTTGTGGTGATCAAATGACATCACTTGATTTACGAGAGCATGGTGTCTTAGGAAAGCAAACTAGAGTACGAGTTCTCTGTTGACACTCATTTTATAAAGGGCACACTTAATTACATTCATTCAGATTTATGGGGATAAGCTCGGGTTCCATTTAAAGTTGGTGCATTTTATTTTCCGATGTTTATTGATGATTACTCTCAAAATTTTGAGTTTATTATCTCAAACATAAGAGTGATGTTTTCGAAACCTTTAAGCAATGGAAAGTTCTAGTAAAGAATCAAACAAGAAAGAAGGTTACACATCTTCGAATAAATAATGGCTTGGAATTCTACGTTGGAAATTTTAATGAGTTTTGTACAAACTCTAAGATTATCTCATATTGCATAATTAGACACACTCCTTAATAAAATAGGATGGTAGAGCATATGAATAGGACCTTGACGGAGAGAGTTAAATATATGCTCTCTAATTCGGGTTTGGAGAAGGATTTTTGGATCGAAGCAATTAATACGACTTGTTATTTTATGAACTTTTCTCCCTCTATTGCCATTGATTGTAAGACACTAAATAAGGTATGGCTAAGTAAACCTAGTGATTATTCAAATTTAAAAGTATTTGGATGCCATACTTATTATCATGTTAAAGATGATAAACTTGAACCTAAAGCAAAGAAATGCATATTTGTTGGCTATATTGATGGGGTGAAAGGCTCTCGTCTATGGTGCCTTGAACCCAATTCGTCTAAATTCATTATTAATAGAGATGTTACTTTTTTTTTAAATGCTTGATTAAAGAAAGGTTGTTTGTTAATCTACAAGAAATAGTGAGAAAGCCATGGATAAGATGGAGTTTAAAATAGAGACTCCTTAAAAACCATCCCAAGATGTATTCCTTGTAGTTGCAAACATGCAATAGGATTTAGATATGAATGAAAATACCACGGAATCTAAACAACCTTACTTAATAGTTACCGATTGAGAGAGAAAACGGATAAAGACCTTCCTAGAGATATGCTTATTTCTAATCTAGTAGCCTATGCTCTAAAGAGAGTTGAGACAATAGGTATTCAAGAGCTTTCTACCTATATAGAGGGGTGTCGTTTTGTTGCTTATGCCCGTGCCTCATAAAATTATCTCGTGTGCTTTCTTTTTCCTTTTGAATTGGAAAATGAAGCACGAGCATGCCATTTTGTTGCTTTGGCCATGTGGTTTGCCTCTACCTATGTTTCTTAAGCATTGGTTTATTCATATTGGGGTTTTTTTTTGTTAAAGAGAAGGAATTTTGTTAGTCACAATATTGAAGAAAATATTTTCTCTCTTCACATCTCTTGTTTCTTACATCGAGTTAGCTCACGTAAGCTTAGAGATGTGTTTTGAGGAATTATTTGATATTTTTAAAGGTTTACGGAATTTAGGTTAAGGTGGAGATTTGTCGTGTGTGGCTTGAATTTATGGGCCAATAATATATTTAGCCCATTACATTTTTTCTTTTATAGGTAGAGATATTTAAACCTCCTTATGATTCTGTTTAGGAAATAGAGTGAAAGATAGAGACTTTTATTGAGCTTTTAGGGTTTTTCTATTCTCATTCTAATAAGCTAATAAAACTTTCCTCTTGCCCATAGAGTAGGTAATTTGTCGAACCACATAAATCCTGTGTGTTGACAATTTATTTAGCTTTATCTTTTGATTATTATCTACCATTACTTGTCTTATTTCTAGTATTTTTTATAACGGATACTTAGACAAGAATTCATCATCGAGTCCTTTACATCAATGCTTGGTTGTTAATATAGAAATTGATTGAGTATACATTATGATTCCCATGTGCACATACTCATCTCAATTTGATTTTCATCGATTTAAGCCAACATATGTTGTGATAAGCTTTGCATGTCATATCTCTCCTTCTATTAGGAGAACTTGTGAAGGAATTAGATCAAATTCAAAGTTAGAATTAGAATGTAAAGTGTAATAGTTAAATTTAGGACATCTAACTAAATAAGAGGTTTTATGTTCAAATTCTATATGTGTAAGAATGTAGGGGATTATAAAAGAAGATTACCTTATAAGTAATAGCTAATTATAGGGTGACCTAAGTCACCTTGAGAATGAACAAGTTCTTGCATAACGAATACATAGACCAACATATGTAGGAATAGGGTTTCGACCCACGTGTACATATTGAAATAAAATTTCACTAGCATTGCATATAAATGCTATGTTATTAATAAAAACATCTTAAACAAAACTAAGAAACACTATACAAAATACCTTGGCATTTTTGCAAATTTCAAAATTTTTGTGATCATTTTACATGGAAATGTACAATGGCATTTTGGTGGCATTTTATATGCTACCTCACAAAATATTATTCACTATTGTGCATTTACTATTCATCAACCCACAAAAAACTCTTGTATATGTAATGTTTTACAAATATTGCAATTTGATCTCTAATATTTGGATTTTAGAGTAAAATTTAAAATATTATTTTTTAAAGAAATAATTGATATAATTTAGATAATTAATTCTTAGATTTTTTAAATTAATCGACACACACATGCATTTGTCTCTATTTTTTAAAAATAATTTTTAAAATAGTAAATTAATAATTGAAAGGTAAATGTTAAAAAAAGTGATTGCTATATATGTAAGCTTGTGTAGAGAGACTAGCCTTGTATGGCTTAGAGATAAACGAGTTATTTAAGAGGAAAAAAAGAATTTACATTTTTTATTTGATTTTTCTTTATATAATCAAAGTTCATCAAAATTATTTTTGTAGTAATT